AGCTGTGTTGCATCCAAATTACATATCATGTCACTGTACACCCTACCTAGACATTTGGTTGTGTCTGTCAGGGCTTACAAAGTGGCTGTAATGAGCAGATTTTCTCTTTATGGCTTGTTCTGCAAGTGTAGGTTTGTCATACGTCCACCAGCCAGACGGTGTTGATTTGTGCCCTCTCTTACCTCAGAAGCTCATTTATTCTAGCATCTCTCACAGGAACACTGCTGCCCCTGAAGTATGTGGCCCCAATATATGTTGTGCAGAATTGTGTCCCTTGGGCATGCAAGGAAACTGTGATGGTCAGTTTGAATCCCGGTTAGCCCGCCCACTCACCCCATTTGTTCCTAGGGTTTTAGTAACATACCATTGATTTAAGGTTCAACAAAGTTGTATATGTCTAAGCGAGTGAGTGAGTGAGTGAGTTTTGTTTTACGCCGCACTCAGCAATATTACAGCTATATGGCGGAGGTCTGTAGATAATCTAGTCTGGACCAGACAATCCAGTGGTCAACAGCATGAGCAACGATGTGTGCAATTTGGAACCGATGACATGTGTCAACCAAGTCAGCGAGCCTGACCACCCGATCCTGTTAGTCGCCTCTTATGCACATGTCTAAGACCTTTGTTCCCTAATTAAGCTCACACGCCATGATGTAACTGGAATATTGTTAAACATGCATTAAACCTAACTCACTCATTATGACTCAGTCACTCACAGTAAGTTCTGTGTAATAGTACCTTGATGTACAAATGGAGAATAAATTTCTCTATTTCCTCTGCTTTTTCAATTTGCAGTAATTGCTTTCAGGGTCCACATTATTATAGTGAAATTATTTTTGACTCCAAATTGTGAATCCAGGGAATCTAAAGAACTTAGAATATATAAATGTCTGATATGACTGGAGTTGTTTGGTTTGGACGCCACGTACCAGTCGTCCTGGCCAAATATAGGGATCAGCTAGAAATGATGTCCAATTATGTTATTTCACAAGAAAAGGACACCCTTCAGATCCTTTGCTCAACATTCAAGTCACAGGTCTTGGAATAATTGGACAATTTTAAAGTATAGATGTATTGTCCCTGTGATGTTCAGCCCTGGTCTGAGAGTCTGGGTGACCTGTAATCCTCATCATTGCATGCCAGTCACTTTCATTGATCTGTTTGTCGTGGAATGCATCGATAAGACGCAGCCACGGGTGGTGGCCGTCTGTGGCTCATTGTCTTCCGCCATTGGTGTCAGAGTCAGCAGCAGGCTGGCAGGTGAGGAAGAACCAGAGTGACATCCTCGCCTCTGGGGACAAACTGTCGGACAAGTCCCTGATGAGGGCGATATTGATGTCTCCAAGTGAATATACTGTCTTGATGAAGGCTCTGATATTGTTAAAGCGATGCAACATCGATATGATATAAAGAACTGCTGCTTTTAGGATTTTGCTTGGTTGTTGGTAGTCTGATTCATTTTGTTCAGCATCTGAAAGACGGAAGTTTGCTTAGCTATAATGTGTGGAAATATTACATGTTGATAATGATTTGACATCATAATTATCTATACATGTATATATATTTCTTTAGATTTGTCCTCACCTGAAATATTTATGTTTTGCTACAGCAGATTTCACTTTCTGTCCTGAGTACCTTCATGTACTGTAGGGCGGTAGGGTAGCCTAGTGGTTAAAGCGTTTGCTCATCATGCCGAAGACCCGGGTTCAATTCCCCACATGGGTACAATGTACGAAGCCCATTTCTGATGTCCCCCACCTTGATAATGGTGGATTATTGCTAAAAGCAACGTAAAAACCAAACTCAGTCGGTCAGTCTGTACTGTAACAGAAAGATAAAAGAGGTGTTACGTTGATGCATCAATCTCACTTCAACACCCGCTGCACCACCATTGTGTTTCAAGGCTTGTCAGCGCCATACCCATGCTTATTGGTTTCACAGAAGTGGCAGTGAATCAGAGACCTGCGTCAGTATGGGCTGTTGTCCATCATCAAGCTGACGTGCCATGATAAAGCTGACAAAGTGTTCAAACTGGCATTAACACTCACTCACTCACTCACTCACTCACTCACTCACTCACTCACTCACTCACTCACTCACTCACTCACTCACTACTCACTCACTCACTCACTCACTCACTCATCTGACCTTAATATCCTGTTTCAGTTTAGACATTATTAATCAGTACTGAATCTCTAGCATTATTCTTCACTGCTGTATTGTTAAATACAGTCAATGCTACTGAGCAGGTTTTAAACGGCAAACCATGCTAGGACTTGAGTTTTTCCTTTTTTAGAGAAAAAAATATTTCAACATAAAAATGGTTCAGATAATAATTGAATCAAAGTGTATTTGATAGTTTGCCCCTTACGAGTTGTTGGGATGTGAATTAGTTTGCCAGATTATAGGATGCTCTATAATGCCCCCAGTATGACCTATATTCTTGACTGGTTGGTGTCGAAGATATTGTTCATGATAGATCGGTTAATGTATGATGACTTTCTTGGGACAACTGCCAAGGAGATGATTCCTTGGAAATGGTGGCGTAGACTCATTGCCAATATTGAAATGGTTGGGGGAAGATTTGTTTTCAATCTGCCATGACATCAATGGATGGGAGATGTGCGGAGGGGAAAAGCAATCTGGCAGACCATGAGCAGGATGAAATCAGACTGGAATAATCCATCTGGTTCAGGTGGAAATGAAAGATATGCTGGTATATCCCTGATTATTGTGACGGCCTCTCAGTGTCCGGTTGAAATTGGGGACAACTGTCATTGTGTTTCGTACAGTCCATTACCATGAGAACCGTGCTTTAAGATTAGGTCCCCTGCCTTGCATCTTGTAATTAGATGACGGACCTGCCTCATTCAGACGTGTTGTGATGTGCAAAAGAGTCTTCAGGTAGACGGCATCAGCTAGGATGTCATCGTCTGAGAGTTTCTCGTGCTGCAAAACTTCAACCTTAGCTCTCCTGTTGAGTTCCGGTGCACTTAGATGTTTCTCCGACTTGAGCACTTACAGTAATTGAATCCATTGACCTGAAGTGATAAAATTGTTCGTAAACAAATTAATACGAGTTTGGAAAATTGGGGTCTCCTTTCCACTGACTGTGATCATAAAATGAGGGTAAAATCTTGTTATCAAAGCTTTCGTGTTGCTTCTTCAGTTGGGACTATTCAGTTTATATGCCTGAAAGATTACGAGATCAGTGATAACGATATTAGGTTTCAGTTTCTCACACTCGACTCACACCAACCCAATCCACACACACACTCTGTCATGCTCACAGTAACACACACAGAATATGGCATCAGACTGTTCTCTCTCTGTCTCTCTTAGACTGGATATATGTAATTGTGATAGTGAGTTGGGAGATATCCACACTTGCTTCATTTAGGGCTTTAGCATTGCAAGGAGGGCTTGGCATTAGGGAATATAATGTGGTTCAGGAACTTTGAGACAGACTCTGTGTGTGTGTGTGTGTGTGTCTCTCTCTCTCTGTGTCTCTCTCTCTCTCTCTCTCTCTCTCTCTGTGTCTCTCTCTCTCTCTCTCTCTCTCTCTCTCTCTCTCTCTCTCTCTCTCTCTCTCTCTCTCTCTCCTCTCTCTCTCTCTCTCTCTCACTCTCTCAACACCACATTGTACCATTCCATACCCCACTCCACAGTGTATCATTACAGAGAGAGAGGGAGGGGAACCACACTTTCACCCACCACCACAACCCACTATAACATGCACCACCACAACACACAACACAACATACACCACCACAACACACCATGGACCAAACTGATACCAGTATTATGGCAAACATGAACTGTCACTTGTAATGCTTATGGTAGGATTTGAGTGTCAGTAAAAATAAGTCCGTGCATGATTGGAGGATGGAATTGTATCAGCACCATGAATGGTACACACAGAAGACGTGCATTGTGGTGGATATTAGATGCATATGAGACGAAAAAACAGCAACATTTGCATCCTCCTTGGCATGCATGGTGCCAGTTTGTCACAGTGCATTTGTACTCGTCTTCCCTACACCACCTTCTGTCGGTGGGAAGGTTTAGATTCGTCTGTTGAAGTTCACCGTGGACCCATTGCATGGCTGATGATCACTTTCTGAAGTCACTTTGTTGTGTTCTTGAACACGTTCTGCATCAGTCTGCATTGATTTGTAGAATTAGTACCATATTGCAATGCAGTGTTTGTGAACCCTGTACATTTATACTCAACAGAACCTGTATACTTTGAGATTATGATAATCATATTCATTATCATAATCTTCACTGAAGTCTAGTGGTTTCAGGTTGTCACGCTGAAGACCAAGGTTCGATTCCCCACATGGGTACAATGTGTGAAGCCCATTTTTGTGTCCCCTGCTGTGATATTGCTGGAATATTGTTAAAAGCGGGGTAAAACCATACTCACTCACTCACTCACTGAAACACTACAAAGACAAACATCAGATGTACTCAGATCACATCAAATGCCTCAGCCTTTGTTTCAGAACATGTATTATAGCATGATCTGTGTATTGTTGTGACGCCTATCAGAATCCCTCCCTTGTACAGAGATTGCCATTATTGCTCTCTGAATCCATAGATCTTGGATGATTTCCTGTGTCTATATCATCTGTCAGCTTTAGGTGTGTCAGTGAGTGTCTATGTGTTGAAGTTTATGAACCCTGATATTTGATGAAAAAGAATGTTCTTTTAGATTCATTTTACATCAAGCATATATGGACCAACAATATTTAATTCCTCTTGTTTTCAGGGAAATATGATTTCTTTTCCCTTTCCCAAAGTAGTCTTTCATGTTAAAGGAAGTGCTGACAAAGATGTTTTCCTCATGACTCTCAAATGAATTGCTGTGGCCATTGATCAGTTGGGTGTTGGTCTTGTGGAATACCAAATGGATTTTTTGACAGTGAAACTGTAAATTACGGTATGGATTCTCATGTGTTTATTTCTATTCATGGATGTTTCTTGCTTTGTTGCAGTCTGATTTCGGCCCCCTTGCCTCGCCGTCCCCGCTGCCGTCGCCGTTACTGAAGAAGTGTCGCGATGACCTGCCATTCAGCATCCCTGGCAGCCTCCGGCGACTGCAGCGCACTTTGTCCGAAGATGCCAAACAACGGCGCCGAGAGAGCATGCCCTCAACACCAACTGGAACCCAGCCTATATCCCACATGGGTCATAGTATGTGTTCTTTCTTATTCAGTAGGAAACCCTGAAAAACAAAATGGGAGCCTAAAATAGAAAATAAGGGTTGACTGAATTTAAAATTTTCGAGAATAAACATGTAATGTGTATATCACTTCACTGGAAAAATTACATATGCATGTGTCTTTATCCTTTGGGTAAAAGCTGCTTTGGAAGAGAAATAATTATCACTTTCAACTTTGATATCAGATGAATATATATATATATATATTGATTGAACTAACTGAAGGTTCTGATAACACGTGATTGTGTCAAGGAGAGGACATTGTCGTAGTCAATGCCCCATGTGTGTGTGCTCACCACTCAATGTGAGCATAGCGTTAACTTATATACAGATAGATTAGCCTGCATTGTATGCATTCTCACCTTCATCAAGTCACTGATTTGGTGCACCTGAGTCAAGATCCAGTGCAATTAGAATCTCTGCTTGATGGAGTTGTGTGGGAAGCCAGCCAGGATGGCCAGATTATTAAATATGTTTGAGTGTACACTGTCTTACAGTGAAACACATGGATAATAGATATGCGTTACTGCGTGTCAGATTGGATTTTTTACCAGAAGAATACTGATGGTAGAATAGTAGATACAAAAACACATGTCGTGGATGATGGTATTGGGGAATTCTGTATACAATATTTGGATCTTATTTTGCCCATGAGGTTTTATAAGTAGAGTTCTTAGGTTTTTTCTTGTTGTTATGTCATGTGCAGATTTGTATAAATGTGTGGGAAGGGGCCAAATTAGCTGTTGAAGATGATTAATGGATAACGTGTGAGCAGACGTCCTTAGTTTCAAGTCTGTACGTCCACCCAGGGATTAACTTGTTAGGATCAAAACAGTTTGTTTTGGAAGAAATATAAGAACATGTGAATATTTTAAAATAAATTAGTATTGGAGATGTATTTTCAGATTATGTTTAGAAATGTTACCCTTGAATTTCTGAACTAATTTCTTTAATGTTCCCTTTTGACAGTGAGCTGAAGAATGTAAACAGAATCATGTGACAGTGTTGTTAATATTCTTGTGCCATCACACATGGTATCTGATAAGTCATTTAGGTTTCAACACATGCAATAGGTTTCATGATGCAATTGGTTTCATGACCATGTGAAGGGTTTTGTGACCAAACAAAAGGCTTCGTGAACATGCAGTAGGTATCACCAACATGCAAATGGTTTCATCAACATGCAAATGGTTTCATCAGCATGGGACAGGTGTAGTGAAAGTGTGATAGGTTTCATCAACATGCGAATGGTTTCATCAACATGTTACAGGTTTCATGGACATATGATAGGTTTTATCTAATGCAGTAGGTTTAAGCTGGATGTAAACTGATAGGCATGAGGAAGTACATGCATGACTTACAAGGTCCTGTCTTTATTGACATTTCTGAAACTTGTGAAACTAATCAATGCTGTGAAGTGAGCTGAGAGAAATAAAATTAAACTTAGTTGGTATTTGGAGTTGAGTTATTAAATAACAACCCTCTTACACCCTGTCCGCATAGTTCTCCTCCGTCTCCTTGGTAGTCTGTCTCACAGTCCCTGAACCACATTATTTCCCCTACTGCCTCGTCCTACCTGCAATGCTAATGTCCATATGAAGCAAGTCGAGATTTCCTCAGGTTCTCTCTGAATCTCCCATCTGACTGGGGCTAGATTTAAATTTAAATTGGTTTACTAGTTATATATATATTCAGAGACTGTGTTAGTCTACCTCCCGAGTTGTAAACAGTGTCTGCACAACACATGACAACACTACCTCACCCCACTCCATAATACCCCTCCCTCTCCAAGGCCCTCCCGTGTCTACTGAACAACACTAGCCCACCCCACTCCATAATACCCCTCCATCTCCAAGGTCCCCCAGTGTCTACTGAACAACACTAACCCACCCCACCTACATATTCCCTCAATCCATTGTGCCAGCAAAGTGGCTTCAGAAAACATAAGAACACGCCCCCACTGTGCTCCATAATTCCCGTCCTTCCAGCTTGTAAACAATATCTGCAGAACACATCCTACCATTCCCCAGTGTCCGCCTACCCCAGTGTTCCCACACAAGGTGGGAGGAAGGGTAGAAGAACTGTTAGCTCTGGAACGTGTCCAGGTAATGCAGGATTACAACCGATACCTGTTGTAGCACAAGCTGATGTTTGTACCTTCAACTATTTGCTCTTTACTCGGTGTACTCTGCATGTGATACCCACAATGAGATCAGCTGCTCAGATGATCAAGTTTTTATGAGGCTCTAGAATCTCTCGGTACTTGTAATCAGTGTGTTAGTATGGGAACCGTATCAATTACTTTGATAGTCAGATTAGATAGAAATGTCTTAAGATATATGATGCTCTGGGGATGGTTTAGGAGACTTCAGAGTAAACTTGATTTACAGGTTGTTCTTCAGCGCTGTAGCATGAAATACATAATATACTCAACTGCCAAAGAAATACAAGATGAGAACAAAATGTGGAGTTTAAATTTTACAAGAGATGATGCATAGAAATGATGAATTTCAATGACAAATGACATAGCACACACAATTTCAAGAACTCTTTGAAGAATTAGAAGCAAACTGTCATTCAAACTTTAGGCAAGACCAATTTTATTTCTTGTTTCACAGATCCGCCTGTCATATTTTTTCAAGAATAAGAAAAAAAAGAGTATTTTCCTGCTCAAAAAATCAAATCCTAATGTTTTTATTGGCCAAAAATGCAAACTTACAAGAAATTTTTTTTAGATTGTTTTTTGCTCCATATGAACTTCATAAATTGCCAAAAGTAAAATACTGAGAGTATTTAGAAGGAATGTTACTTTAACTGGTGATTTTATTTTTATTTTATTTTTATTTTTTTCCTCCTGCCTTTAGGTTTTCTGAGACCAAAAATCCGTAAAACAAGAAGTAAAATTGGTCTGGCCTTATGAATAAAAAAATACCTGAGTTGGTATCATCATGTGGCTGGCCACCAGCTGCTTCAGTGACTGCAGTGTCATCAGTACAGGAAATGAATCAGTTGAAGGCTACGGAAATATAGTGAACATGTCTCGATTATGACTGTCTCAAGGTTCACCTTCATTTATCTGCTGTGGGTGAACTTGATTCATTTGGTTCGGCTCTTAAATGTTTGATTGGATTCAGATCAGGACTGGGAGGTAAAGAAACTGTGATGCAGCAGAAAGTCATTATATTCTCTGACATTCTCTGACAATGTGTCCACTGTCTGTATCAAATTTTGACCATGACCAAAGTCATTGATGTAAACCATAGCTGCCCAAATCATCAACCAAAGTTTCCCTCACAGTTGAAATACAAGAATGGCTTTCATTCAAGGGTGTACCACATGTAAACTTGTTATGATGCGGTGTGGCCCTTTGCATTAGGTTCTGCCGATGACCAGCTGTCTGAATTGGACAGTGGGCTGGATGACAACAGTTGTTTAATACAATTTGGCACCAACAGTGTCACCACTGATTGGTTGATTGTTAATTCTGATTGTTTGTCAAGCTGTTGGCAGGATGCAGTCATTAACAGGAAGTCAGCATGGCTCTTGTCTTGTTGAAACATGTTTGGAGCAGCTGGTTTATATGTGACTGGATCAGCAACATTCTGGATGCTCTGACCAGCTTCAAAGTGTCCAGTGGTTTGATCTCACATGTTAATCTTGGCACTATTGTGGCAGGCAGGCAGGGACTGAGTGATGAAGCAACCAGTTTTATATCCCTCTGTGTTGGGATGAAACATCATGCGACCATTAGAATGTTCACATCACACTACTGGTATTGGTGTAGACTAAAGCTTAGTCTCTCAATATATATAAGTTTGATAGTAACAAATAAACCCATTTAAATTGAAAAGGATCCCCCAGGGAGACCAGAGATTCAGAACCTGGGGAAATCTAGACTTGCTTCATTTTGAGCTTTAGCATTGCAGGTAGGGTAGGGGAAATAATGTGGTTAAGGGATTGTGAGACAGACTAGTTCTGGTGGTGTGTTCAGGAGACACACCAAGGCCATGGACTAAAAAATGAGTCCAAACTATTAAAATGAACAACTTGCCAATACAATTAACCTAACACCAAATATTGCTGAGTGCGTCGTAAAACTAAACTCACTCACTCACCTAACACCATTAAATTTTAAAGGTTGCATGAGAATTGAAAATTCCATCTTTTTTGCGAAAATATGTTCAGTACTGCTTAGGAAGCAAGTAGAAGTAAGCTGAATGAAAACATCACATTGATAGCCAAATATTCATAACACATATATTTCTGATATAGATCCAGTTCTTTTAGGAATTAGTTTTTCAATATATTTAATATTTCCATCTGTATGAATGTAAATTCCTGTTAATAGTTAACCATGATGTCCATATGCTATTTTCCAATAGACAGCAATAACCAACAGGGGTGAAATTCTCCAGCTGGATATATAAGCACTGCATACTATGTTATTCTATCTGAATATCCATATCTGAAAACAAATCTTGGGTTATTCATCTGACAAAACATTTGTTTTTATTTACAAAGTTAAATTTATACATATTGCATTTCAGAAAACAAAATGGTCTCAGACATGTCTCAGAACTATCCCATCACAATTCATTATTCAATTACCCATTGAATTGCTTCCATGGCTTCTATGTGTCATTTTTGATCTTTTATCTTTCTTTTTTTAATCTTTGTAGTGAGTTAGTTAGTGAGTTACGCCGCTTTTAGCTATATTCCAGCAATATCACGGCGTAGGACACCAGACATGGGCTTCACACATTGTACCCATGTTGAGAATTGAACCCAGGTCTTCGGTGTGACGAGAGAACGCTTAACCACTAGGCTACCCCACCACCCTAATCTTTTCAACTTGTCAACGGGGCGGTTGGGTAGCCTAGTGGTTAAAGCGTTGGCTCGTCACGCCAAGACCCGGGTTCGATTCCCCACATGGGCACAATGTGTTAAGCCCATTTCTGGTGTCCCCCGCCATGATATTGCTGGAATATTGCTAAAAGCGCCGTAAAACTAAACTCAGTCAGTCAGTCAGTCAGTCAACTTGTCAACATGTATCTATTGTTATCAAATAATTTTAGGGTGGGAAAGATGTGCAACTACGCATCTTTACAAGTGTTACCTTGGCCGTTGATAAAATCTGGGATGAAAACAATATCATGCAAACACATTCAGAGAGATTTCAGTGTTCTATGGATGCAAGGTGTGTTTGCCTGTTAGAAGTGAGAAATATCTTGTGGAGTAATTACGCCCCACATGGAAAGCATAATGATTTGACCTCCGTTCCGTAAATCTTCACTGCTACAGAGTGTAATGCCAGTATCACTTCCATGAAGCTCCTTATCGGACAATACTGTCAGAATTTTTCACATCTATCCATTTCATGCAGTGTTTATGGCTGATTTTGAGAGATATGTGTTACATGATCTTTTGCATTTGTTTACAAAATTGAAGTGATGCATATAAAGTATAAGGGTTTATCCCTTTTATTTATTTCTATTTTTATGGAGTTTGTATTTTTGTTATTTTTTATTGTTGAGTTTATTTTTGTCAAGTTCAGGGGGAACTTTGCTTCTCAAATGAGCCTGTTTGTAGTGTTGCCTTGTAGATCACACCCTGGGGATTCGTGGCTTAGAATAGGATCTAAACAACCCGTTTTGGTCTCAGTGTGACTATATTGGGTGGTGAGAATGTGTGAATTGTTGTCAACACAGCCAGGGATTGTCTGGTCAAGATTTTATTATTTTCAGTCCTTTGCCAGGTTTATGGACAAGAAGTCGATCTTTTGAAATTTCGCTATGGACGCGACGGTGACCTGTGGTAAACTTTGATGTTGAAGGTGTTGCTAGAGTCGGTGTTGTTTTAAGATTTTCGATAAAGCAAGCATCACGTAAGTTCACTCATGTAGTTCACTCAAAATGTCATCAATGTCATCATATGAGAGGCGGTGGGGTAGCCTAGTGGTTAAAGCTTTCGCTTGTCACGCTGAAGACCGAGGTTCGAGCATGGGTACAATTAGTCTGTCTCACAAGCCTAGCCCTCTCTGCAGTGCTAAAGCCCTAAATAAAGCAAGTCTAGCTCAGGTTCTGAATCTCTGGTCTCCCTAGGTTGGGCTTGTTTGTTACTATCCAAATTATATATATTCAGAGACTAAGCCTTAGTCTAGGGTACAATGTGTGCAGCCCATTTCTGGTATCCCCTGCCGTGATATTGCTGGAATATTGCTGAAAGCGGCGTAAAACCATACTCACTCACACATCATATGAGAGTGAGTTTTACAAAGATGAACATATTTCATTCAATTTGGATGTATAAGGTAAGAACCCATGCTGCTGAGACATCCGTGATTACATCACCAGCTTCTGGGTCGAGGGTGACCTCCATAGATCCCAGTAGAACCACCACGATTTCGACAGCCTCCACACCAACAACCATCTGGAAGGGTGGCACTCTCGTCTGAAGAAATTGATGGGAAAGGCCAACCCCCAAATTTTTTAAATGATCAAATTTCTTGCAAAGGAGCAGACTCACACTGAAGTTCGCCTGTTGCAGTCCGGTGGTAGACCGAAACATCCATCAAAGAAAAAGAAATACAGGGACTAGGAACGTTGTCTAGACGTCCTAAGTCATGATCTTAGAAGTGGACCAATCAGCAGATTTTGTATACGAAATAAAATGGACGAAATGCAGCAGTTTTCTCTTGTTGTCTGTGTTCTCAACCGCATAATCCGGATTATTGCCTTGTGAAAACACTGGGTTATATCTTTGCGGTTTTTAATCCCCTGTTAATTGGTTACAGGTCAAATGGACAGGACATCAATTTTTTTCCAATTGACGTCATGTGCAGACACCCTTTGCCATGTAGCTGGAATATTGATATAAGTATGAGGTGTGAAACAACAACCAAAGAAACATCTGTTTTTCATGCCAAAGAATCAGGATTAAATTCCCTGTGAGGGTACTACGCGTGAAGCCATGGTTGTCCCCTGCTGTGAAGGTGTTGAATATTGCTAGCTTGTACATTCGTGCTTCTTTAGTATCTAATTCATCTGCCACAGACATAGGAACATCAACCTGTATTTCAGTGTAAAACACCTTTATAAAGTATATACTTATATTATATATTTCATTGTATTGCACAGGTGTGGGAGCCTTGATTGAACCAACCAACCTATTGCGGATGAGGAATACTATCCTAGGACAGTCTGCTCCTTCCCTCTGTGCAAGTGTGGTAAGTACATTCAGAGGATTCTGGGGTCGAATTGGGTGTTTCAATGTCTGGCTGAGGTTTTGTATGTCATTTTCCCCAAACAGCATGGAACATTACGCACTGGTTTTCCTGGGTTAGACTTGATTATGTTGTAATAGCTGGAAAATTGTTCACAGTGGCATTAAACAGTATTGACACTTTCAGGGGTTGAACATTTTTTCAAAACTCCACTGGACACAGGTCCAGTAAACTTTCAAATCCACTTAACCAAATATTAATTTCACTTGACCACAATTAACAACTTGTTTGAGTGGCATTTAGAAGTTGTTGTGATGAACAACGGGGAGAGTTCTATGGATGTTTATTTCATCATCAAAATACATATATCAAAACATTTCAGTAGTTTCGCACTACTGTACCATGGTAAAGTTTGTACCTTGTGGATATTTACTTGACCGACTGGAGAATTCCACTCGACCGGGGTGCCAGGCAATGATATTTTTCAACCCCAGCACATTGTGTGTGTATATTTCTTGTACAGTACATCATGGCTGAACAGGGAGACAGGTTACCAATTTGTCTGAGGTGCCACATTTCACTGTGGAGAGTTGTGTCCCTTGGGCAGGCCAGAAATTCATGATTGTTGGTTCTAGTCATGGTTTGCCTTGAGTTTGTTTCTAGGTTTGTCAACACTAAATAATTGCTTGTGGGTTGAATGTCTTAGACCTGCATCATTTTGGCGTTGAAAATGAAATAATAACATTTCCTTTCCACTAATCAATAGTAGATAATAAAGCTGAAACAAAATCCCATCGTGGTGAGAAACAAAATCCCATCGTGGTGAGAAACAAAATCCCATCGTGGTGAGAAACAAAATCCCGTCGTGGTGAACAAGATACGTTGCCAAGTCCTGCTGCAGGATTCTTATGTCTTTCACATCCTATTACAGAGAGGAATTACTGTCTTTGATGAGGTTCCATTGACACTGCAAAATATTCCAACTGTTTGGCATTCATGCTGACTATGGAGTATATAGGCTGGCTAGAGCATACACTATAAACTATACATGAGAATACTGAGCCTATTATCCTACCATGGCAGCCCTTACTGAAACAGGCTCAGGGGAAGATGCTTTGGGAGTACTTATTTCCATATCCCACCTGGTACTTATGAGGAAAGACTGATTGCTTCAAGCCTGCAATTGGTGAAGGAAATTGGAAACAGTATGTGATCGTAATACACACAGACATGCCCATGTTTGTATCAGAGGTATGGGTGCTGTTGCTTGGCTTCTTATATTAAGAGGGGCGGTTGGGTAGCCTAGTGGTTAAAGTGTTGGCTCGTCACGCCGAAGACCCGGGTATGAATCTCTACATGGGTACAATGTGTGAAGCCCATTTCTGGTGTTCCCCGCCGTGATATTGCTGGAATATTGCTAAAAGCGGCGTAAAAACTAAACTCACTCTTATATGAAGAGGGGTGGTGGGGTAGCCTAGTGGTTGAAGTGTTGGCTCATCACGCCGAAGACCCGGGTTCGAATCCCTACATGGGTACAATGTGTGAAGCCCATTTCTGGTGTTCCCCACCGTGATGTTGCTGGAATATTGATAAAAGTGGCGTAAAACCAAACCCAGTCAGTCAGTCTTTTATGAAGAGAGTGAGTGATGTTTGGAGATGTGGGTCATTTGTTTTGGACTGGTTTAATTATGTGTCTTTATCAGTAAAGGAAGTTGGGTTCCTGGGTTCGTAATGTTTTATTATTTATTTATGATGCTTTTGTATTCATGGTGATTATTTACACTATAAACCTCTTCCAGCACCCTGATATTGAATCGTGACAATATTTACTTAACGGTCAAGGGACATAACTCAATGTACAAACAATGCAAGTAATTCCACCATGACTTGTCAACATTGACTAATCACAAAATCGTTTGCTTGTATGACATGTATGCTCAAAAATGCAAATTCAAGTATGGAGTATTATTCTTTTTTCAATGTTAAAGAAATAGGGTCAGCTGAATCTGTGATCCAACAAATAAGAGAATGTGATCAAGTTACAACTGTGTTTCTTGTCCATTAGACACAGCAAGAGTAATGAGAAAATATTCATGATTTTGTTAAAGATGTTTATTATGACGTGGGTTGTTAACTTATCCTGAAAGATCGTTATCTCAGATAACTATGTTTCCAATTAAACTGAATTCACTGTTGTAATTTTTTTGGTTCCATGAAATATAGATTGAAGAAAAAGCTGGTCAGTGTAGGAAGCTAATATCTATATGCTCCTTCAAGACGGTGTCACCAGCAGTGTGTGAATGTTGCCAAAGGCTGACTAACACTTGCAGAACAGATCTTTTCAAAGGCATCCTTTTAGTTTTTGATCCATATGATATTGACTTACATATCTTAAATCTCTGAGTGGAAATCTCAAATTACGGAAAGGATGTGGACCATAAATTGGAAACACATATTTTTCATTGTTGACGTGAAAGCTAGCAAATTTGATCAGAACCATACCATGACTGGGGGCAGCCATTTTGAATCACCTCAGGAAAAGCTGGTGATTTACTCAATTGATTTTCACTGATTGATGTCAGGCCGTGTGACAAGTCAGGTTCCCTGGTTCTGTGAGATTTCTGGGCTATTTACAGGCCATGAAACAACATCCTGAATATCTAGTTAGTATCTTTCAGGATTCATACTTACAGCACCCCATTGTTTAGTTCATCTTCATTTATGCAACTGGTTTACATTTATCAGATTGGGTGGTGGGGTAGTCTGGTGGTTAAAGCGTTCGTTCGTGAAATATATTGTTTGTGAGGTGGATTATCGAGGGCAAATATCATCTTGGTGAATCTGTTTGTTATCCGTTTGATATAGTATTAGGCTCTGTCCGTCTGTTTGTATGTACGTACAAATTGGAATATCTTAAGAGCCGTTGACTGGATTCTTTTTATATTTGGTACCTAGGTTCATCACAGTAAAAGAAGGTCCCAGTCAGGTTTGGTGACCTTGACCTTCATTTCAAGGTCACAAGGGGACTTTAACGTTTTACCCTTGTCAGCGAGATATTTCAAGAACTGTCCACTGGATTTTTTAAACACATTCAAGACTAAGCTTTATCTAGGGAAGGTGCAGGACCCAGTCGATTTTGGTGACCTTCACCTAATTTTCAAGGTCATGGCAACACTGAAGATTTCAGCATGTTAAGCTGCATGTTAAGCTTGTCAGCAAGATACCTCAAGAACCATTCACTGGACTTTCTTCATATTGGACACCAAGCCTCATCTCGGGAAGGTGCAAGTTCAAGTCGGTTTTGGTGACCTTGACAGAATTGTCAAGGTCACAGCCGACACTTTGAAGATTTCAGCATGTTAAAGATTGTCAATTAGATATCTCAAGAACATATCTCAAGAACCATTCACTGGACTTTCTTCAGATCACAGTGAGACTTTCAAGACTTCAGCATGTTAACCTGCATGAATGATTGTTTTCAATAAGCAATTTCTTTCTTTTATTCACTACTTTTTGCATATTTCATACACTTTATTAAGACATTCATACACTAAGACATTCATGTTAAGGTCAAAGTGAGTCTTGAAAATATTTGTGCGTTTGAACAACTACAGAGCAAGATATCAAGAGAGGTTGACTGGTCATGTTAACTTCATCTTAAATTACGACCTTCACTTTCATTACTTTTTAAGTTTGATTCGATAATTTGTGGCGGGGGATTATGTCACCTTAGTGACAATGCTTGTTCTACATGCAAGTATAGTATGCGTTGTAGTTTTGGTCTACTTTTCATCTCCTATCCACCTACTCCACCCTTGTATATCAGAAGGCAAGGCCACAGTCTCGTCGCTCACCTTTCCAGGTGAATATTTTCTCCCCAAACAAAGTTTCTGCTATGAAAGCCTAGTCTGAGTGTGAGGGCTGAAAGAACAGGCAAACCCAAGTGAGATGGCATGATACTTGTAAACAAGTTAAATTGTTGCCTTTCTCCTCCTTGCCTTCAGTACAGGATAACAGGTGGCCTTTTGGTCTATTTTAGCAGTTGCTTCCCTTGATTATGCCAGGATCTGCTTATGAGTTTGAATTCCAGATGAGCCCTGATTATGATCATTGAACTGTTAGAAGCATTGAACTGTTATATCACAAACACCCAAATAGAACTGAAATCCCCTTGAATAGTAGTTCCTGTCAGAAGATCCAACGAAAAGGATCGGGTGAACAGATTTGCTTACGTCGTTGATGCATGTTACCCCAACTGCAATGATTGATTGATGATGTCAGTAACTGCAGTGTATGGTCCTGACATGGTTATTTACAGACCGCCATCAGCATTAATATTGTTGACATGGTGAAGGTCATAGCTCAGTGGAGAAGTTACCCTAATGTTCTTACTGGGTTCAGTCCACCGAATAATTGCAATGTGTGAAAGCCCAGACTCATTCACTCACTCGGGCGGTGGGGTAGCCTAGTGGTTAAAGCGTTGGCTCGTCACGCCGAAGACCCGGGTTCGATTCCCCACATGGGCACAATGTGTGAAGCCCATTTCTGGTGTCCCCCGCTGTGATAGAGCTGGAATATTGCTAAAAGCGGCGTAAAACTAAACTCAGTCAGTCAGTCATTCACTCACTCACTCACATCACGCACTAATTCACTCACTCACTCACTTTTACCCCCAATGGTACTTCTGGGTTTACAGTATGCCCCCAGCAACTTGTGCTGGTTATTAGAGGCAGATCGATTGAGGGACCAGCTCGGACTTGTTGCATACAATATCAATCACTAGAATGTCTAGTCCAGGTTCCATTTCTTACATTAGGCTGAATGTAGTACTGAACAACTCACTTGAGGTCACACTGAAGGTCTTGCTTCTGATAAACATTAGGATTTCAAGAAGAAACATCTGTGTCTGAAGCAAGAACTGTGTGAAATCCTGCTCAGAAGGAAGTAATCTCATAGAAGTACTCTGCTATTTGACATTTTCTTTTTTCCCTATCAAATTTCAA